TGCAGGCATACATGTACAGTATCATCAGTGTCAAGATATCGGTTATTGGCATTTGTCCTAAATGCTTTGCAGCTTTACAACTCCCACACAAAGATACAACCTTGAAGAGTATTCAGTATTTATTTCTGTAAAGAGGCGCTGTTTAGCATCAATAACAAAAAGTGTCACTGTCACCTTCGGAGTTGGAAAGGTGCCAAAAATCAATGGATGGTACAAGACAATGTTGATGAGGGCAAGGCAATTTTAACGATTCGGCAGCATAACTGACATGCTAGTACTAGCAACATATTCAGCGTTCACTACTGAGTATTCGAAAAGAAGCATGTACAAAATGTACAAAATTTATAGGACAGAAGCTGTGATCAAATTTCCTTTTCAGCAATAATGAAACAGACTCTGCTCTTCTGGAGGATAAGGCAAACAATAGCATGTACTGTGAATTTTATACAGAAAATGTACAAAACGACGGTACTGAGCGCTCTTCACAGTGTATCAGTGCCTTAAAATGTTGTAGCGTGAAAAGGTCAGTCTATAGTGTCCGACCCACGTGCATGGATATTTTTCGAAGTGTAAAAAGGCCTTAAGAAACCCCTTTTTCATCAGATGTAGTTTGACGCTGAAGCATTTGAAGAAAACGTTCAGTTGTTCCCCAGAAACATTTCTTCACTCTTTTTTTTTCTTAATCAATCTTCTTAACAACATCCTTTCACTTCATGACTCAAGATAAAGCTATCAAAAAAAAATACAAAGAAAGCAAAGTGAATAACCACACTACCAAGAGAGGGCGCCATTCAACTTTTTCAATACAAATAGTTTTGTGAGTAACCACACTATCAAAAGAGGGCGCTATTCAACTTTTCCAATATACCTGTCTTGTGAGACCAGCTGATGACGAGGAAGCAAATAACACTGCACAAAAAGTTCATCATTAAAACATACAACAGAAACCACAACTCTTTTGTTTACTGACTCCCTACTTGACCCAAACCTAAACTGGTGAATTTAGCCTTTTAAAAAGCAAATATATCCTCACCTAAGTGTACATACTACCCAACCTGGGAAATTAATTATTCCAAAGTCTGAATATCATAATTGGTTTCTCTCCAAGTTGGTTTTACAAACAGACACAAAACCCAATATGTTTGCGGTTATTTTGATAACATTGGAAATTGTTCAAATAATATTAGATAACACAGAATTGAACAGGGTAAATACAGCTGTACAAGTCAATTCATTTCAACTTTCTTCAATCCACAAAAAAATTGACAGCCTATTTTTGCCTTATTTTTATAAAATTGGGAGAGGGACACACCGAGGGTACGTACTGGTTTGCAAGCGACTAATTTTATTCTGAACGTGCACAAACCTAAAAGCATATTCGCGTGACGTGAGCGTCAGGCGTTGTCGGCAAAACATTTGAATATCTCTCCCAGTGGTCTCCCCCAACTCTCCCTTTGTATCCGTTGAGGGGGTACTTTTGCACGGAGCACATGGCTCATTGATCAACTACAAAGTATTCCAGAAAAAATGAGAACAACTTCAGAATTAACAAAAAAACTCTACTTCCGCGAACGTTTCAAAAGTCGGATGGAGGAGTGTATGCACGCACTTGAGTGTACATATATCCTGCTGTGAGTGCACTGTGACTAATACTTAATAGAAATAGCGAACCCAGAAAATAGTTGAGTTGTTTACCCACACTAAGAATTGGAGCAGTGTTTGTTTTATGACTAAAATAATGTACATTATATAAACTAGTTCATGAATTACATCATGCAAACTAATTTTTTAAACATCGATCGATAACATTTACGGTACCAAAGAAAAAACCTGATTAATTAAAAACTAATTTTTGATGTTGGAAATAAAAGTCTGTAAAACACTAGCGTTTTGGCTGGTGACGTGTAGAGCAATTTTGTAAAAAAAAAAAAAAAAAATTGGTTAAATTCTATTACATGTACATGTTTCTCTACAGTTTGGGAGACCTGATTTCCGTGTAGATTTGCACTGTTACAAAAAGGTCCAACAACCAAATAAAAAGCAGAGCAGAACAATAAACATCTAAGAAATTATTGAAGCAGTTTTTTTTAGGACTTCTACCGTATTTCTTCCAAAAACAGGAAATGACCATTGTTACAAAAAAATATAAAAGAACCAACTCAAGAAAGAAAGATAAAAAAATATCAAAGAATGCAAAAACTTCCCTCACCCCAAATCCATTACATTCCTAATAAATGACACTTAAGACAGTGGACAAAATGGAAAAGCAACACTTTTTTGAAATGGCCCTTACTCAATAAAAAGTTTTTCTGATTGGAAAGATATTTTTTTTTGCTGAAAAGCTAAAGAAATATATTTTTCAAATATGTATCAATATTTCTGATGTATTTTTAAAAAGCTGCGACAAAGAGGAAGCTTTCACTTTGAGGGTTCAATTTTTTTTATGGGACACCGTGACCCTTCATGTCCGTAAAACAAGCTGTAAGCAAACAAACAGAACCCCAATGAGGAAGTACACTAAAAAGAAATGCAAAACCTGAACAGCTAAGTAACATATAAATTGTCAAGCACATACCGGTACATACAGTGATAAGGCGAAGTATTTCGCCAACTGTTCAACTTCAATATTTATAACAAAATTGTCTGAAATCACAAATACCCGGTACTCACCTCTAATTAATAGCAGCTGTCTCACTCATTAACAACCCGGACTGTAAAACTGGCACATGTACATTGTTTATTTAGCAACACAGAATCTTATTGCATGTATGATTATGATATTAACCATTCATACAATTATGCTGATTATAAAAACATAACTCCCATTTCCTGATATAAAATAGACTTGCCTCAGTCCACCCACGTTTTGGATTCCTTTGAAGATTGTTTGGCCAGTGCTTGCCCGATGCTTGGGCAAGCATGGCAGGGCCTGGGTTCCACCCACATAAAGTGTGTAAACAAATTATTCAAACATTCTTCCGAGTACACATTGGACAGATAACTTAGACAAGTTTAAGAAAACCGTCAGCATTATTCAATAAGAAGCAAGTTTGCCTCTCTACTGTCTAAATGTGTGCTTTTTACAGACATGGTCATTTGATATTTTTTCTGGTTCAAAGTTTGTTCGAATGGAATAAGTGATGCAGTGCTAATGAGCTTTATTAATTAAAGGAATTCCAACAGCGCTCTCTTGTGTCAGGCAATGGCATGGTAAGAAAATAAAAGTTAGAAGACTGCTGTTTTGTTTACTTGTAAAAACCATCTAGCAGCATTTAAATAATCCTTAAAAGATACAGTTTGTTTTTGTCATTTGTGCATTTTTGTGTTTGTTGAAGAAGAAACAACAGTGCTCAAAATCTAAAGGTGGGTGCTTAACAACTAACCTGATGAAGTTTTAGCTCTGTGAATTCTGTATATATTGAGAAAACACAATAGGCCTACTCTCGATCTCGAGTCTTATTTTGAATTGCGCCCTCTTGAGACACACATCTTGAAATCAGCATTCGGGACATGCATGATTCTCATTCAGCCAAACTTTCCATAATTTACATCATGTCACACACCGAACCTACAAATAATAACCGGGCGCGTGTGCATCATGTCAAAATGCTTGCAACCATTGACAGAATCGCCCAACTACAAAAGGAAATTTCCAAAAATGTGTCAACTGACAAATCTTTGGAATGACCTTATTTTATTGTTTTCTTCAAATGACAGCACGCCAGAAGGACTAATTTCACTGGGAGTTTTAGTGTCATTAAGAATCTTTAAACCAAGTTAAGATTTGTAACAATAATTTGGTCGGTTACTTTTTGGATAGCTGCAAATGGTCCAGGCTTTTAATAAGGGGCTACTTCTGTAAAGTAAGAGGTGTTGCAAAAAATCGTCAGCATGTAGCAAGGAATCAAGAATTACACTACTGAGTGTATGGCATTATTCTGGAAACGAATATTTGAGTATTGTTCAACAATAATGAAACAATACTCAATCAGGGGGAGGGGTTGGTTAGTTAGCTACCCTCCTTTCCCCCCCCCACCCCCCACCCCCCCCCCCCCCCCCACCCCCCCCTTTTGAACCTCCCTGAATAAAATCACTTACGCCTAACTTTTAGGGAAAGGGCGAAGTTGAATTTTCTATTGTAAAAATTAACATGCCTTGACAGAAATTGTCTTGTCACGGTTTTTACTAAAAATATGTCCAGTCTTTTTTCTTTCTTTATAGTAATATTTCCCCCCCCCCCCCCCCGAACCAAGTACTACTTGTACATATACATGTGTACATGTATACATGTATGTAATTTAACCTTGACCCAGCATAAGTAGCGACATGAGCAGGTTGTGTAAAATGGAGTAGTAAGCAAGATAAAAGTGAACTTTTTACCTTGGCTAAATCACAACTGTCAGGTCAAATTTCTCAAACATTGAGCAAAATGTTAGGGCGCATGGCTGGCCGCAGACACAACAATATGGAGTTTGGTTCAGCACATACACAATGTATTAGTGTGTGGACAAACATGTACATGTACATGTAAACTACTTAAGTTTAATGCAAGGGATATGCTTCCTTTTTTTTTCAATTAAAATTTTGTCATTATTTGCAAATTCAAGTGGTCTTAGCAGGTCCAGTTTCTTTGATCATCAAATTGGATGATCACCCCTAAAAGTAGTTCCATCCCCATTTTGACAAATGATGCCTGCACTCCATTGCAAAATAGAGCCATTTTAGGGCCCAATTTCATCCAAGTTTTGCAGAAATACAAGCTCTACCATTCTTTTTCACAAACCTTCAAGTTCATGACCCACAAAATGCTCTAATTATAGCAAACAAATTGAGGGCATATAGGCTAAATCATGATTTGGGCATATAGGCTAAATCATGATTTGGCCCCATAGGCAATTTTGAGCCTATTTACTAGTGTATACCCTCAGCAGCTCCATAAAAATTCGGCCCAGGTGACTCTAATTTTCCCCACGTACAGTTCACGACACCCGTGTACTCACCGTGCCGGCGATTGTTACAGCCCTGCGACTCCTGGAACCAGGGTCCGAGGAGACCCCTCCGTCCAGATCCATCTCCGCACCGGTCTTGCTGGAGGTCGATCCCGGCTTCCGCCCCTTCTTGGAGCCCGAGAACAGCCTCCGGCTCACTGCAGACATCCTGTATCCTAGATCTTTGATCTACTGCGCACGTGTGTAGATTAACACCCAAGTTTACAGGGCTTATGAAGAAGTCATGGAACCAGGTCCTGGAAAATATACAAATGCAAAAATTGACGTTTGACATTAGGTTAAGTTAGGCGTTTTTGCAAGAACGTGTTGATGCCTAGGACCCACGTCACGTCATGGATGCGCGCATGATCGTCATCAAAATATGACTTGGTAACACACGCACAACTGCTGGCTTGCAACACGCAATGCCAAACAAGTGATTTTGGCATTCAACGTTAACAACCTCTTCATTTCGTACGCATGCACAATTTTAAAGATTGATAGTGATGTTTTATCAGAGGTCAGATAAACTATGGTCGCGATCAATAGACTTAAGAAGATTATCTCGTTAAATTTACAAAAGCAGTTTTGAACTCTTTTTATAAAGGTTTGCGTAAACGGATCCTATGAAATACCTGCTTAAATTCTTTTGCGTGTGTACGATCAGGAACATGAAGCTTCCAGTACGCGTTGCCGTACGCGTTCAGCAAATACATGTCAACTTAACCGCTCTAATACAAATGCAGAGTTTACGGTAGTATGTTGCTAAACAGCACACAAAAGCAAGGTTGCTGTGGTACATGAAACTGCAACGACAACAAAAACTGATGAAGTGGACAAGGTAACTACAGAATGTAGGTCTATTTCAACGCTATTGTGTCCAAAAGTGTTCAACCATTTGTCAACCAATTTGTTTTGGATGGGTTTAAAGTACACGTCAAGTACAAAGCATGCTTAATAATAAATAAACTTCAGGGGGACTACATAAAATAGCAAGTTGAACAGAGGTTGAGAGGTTTATGATATGTTACTACAATGGCAAACGAAAGGTCTGACCATAAAACAAGATTCAATGTGACCTACATGTACATGTATTTATAATAAAAAGGACCCCCAGAAACTACTCATTCTATACGCAAGTACTCAGCAAAGTCCACAAAAATTTTTTTGCAATCTAACACCACTTTTTTCTTCATATAGGCCTATCATGTCAATGAAGGTCAGTCATTGCTTGCATGATGAGACATGAATCTGGGACTGAGAATTATTTCCACTTTTGTTAGGAAATACTTAAAAAAAATTCTTGACTCTCCGTAGACTTTGTACACAACCGCTGAAGTGGCGTCAGGTTGCAACATTCTTTCCCAACATTCTTTCCTTATTCCCTCCACTTTCCCTTCTCTACTCTCACCCTCTCCTTTCCTTTATTCCTATTTATTAATCAGTCACTTACTTCATCGAGGTTCAAACCTCGGACACTTTTATGATGAAAAACGAGACTTTTACCACTAGACCACGCGCACGATCGCATTGTTCTTGGACATATTTGAAGAATCCATTGAAATAAACTTAAAATAGGCCTATTCATGAGAAATTGAACATTCATAAATGACGTATTGCACTAGAAATTTGGCCGACTCATGTGTTGTCACGGTTGTCGATGTCATGCGTATAATGGGAATCGTATAATGTACTGCTGTCTTCCAAACACTTCAATCCATTTGGCCCGCTGCCTCCAACTCAATTCTGCTCGATGTGTCTGATGTATCCAAACTAAAACCACATTTTTTCCTAAAAAAAAAATCGCAAAGGCCCTATTTGCAAGTCTTCCTGGATTCATCTTGGTGGATCACAAGGTGAAAATTGATGTGTCTGGCGGCAGATAAGTGATGACCCAGTATGGAACTCTTTCCCCTTATGGCCTTACGTCATTTTAAAACATGTTAAAACTAAAAGTTGATTAACTTACGTACGACACATGGACACATTCACTGCACCCTCCCACGACCACACTCCACAGTTCTTATTGCTCAATATTAAAAATCAAGGCTTCCTGGACTGCACATTCATGACATTACTTCTGCGTGCATGTACTTCAAGCTCTGATCGAAATTTAACTGGCCAAAATAATTTACAAAAATTAATAAACTAAAGCAAGCCAGCGAGACATGTGGCCTTCAATTCATCACGTCATCAGTTCATTCACTTCATCATTCATGACTTGAGTTGACTTGATCCTCGATATCTTTTATTATCTCCCACATACCAGCAACAATAATATCGCCCGTTATCGGAACAAATACTCACCAACAAGCCTAGTGGATAGGCACAATGGGCCGGCGGGCAAAATCAAAGTTCACTCCGTCCGACAGATTGCTGTCATTTGAGGTCGCTAAACGCTAATCGATCCGCTAAATTCATCATCCATCAAGCATTTTCACACCCCATGCATGAAATAATGTACACAGTTTTCGGTAGTCCCTATAAACAATAAATTCACTTTCCGTACCATTCCGAAGTTGGCCGGGTACCAGTTGAAAGTATTTACACCACATACATGTTTATATTCAATCACCGGCATTCACTTTCGCCGTATAGTTCATGTCATTTCATTAACCCTGGATAACGATTTTGTTGGGGGGCCGGGGGGATCGATTGCGGGGGGGGGGGGGGGGGGGGGGGGGGGTGAGGTGGGGTGGGGAGGGGTGCAAGGGTTTCTGTAAACCCATCCCTCCCTAAAAAAAAAAAAAAAAAAAAACCCTAAAAAAAACCCCTCAAACCAAAGGATATGGACATCAATCTTTGCAGAATGATCTCTGCAATAATTAGAAACCCTGAATAATCAACAATCTTCAAAACCAAATTGAAGATGTTTGCATTTTAAATATTTAGCATGTGAAATGCACCATTTTTAATTGGGGCATCAACCGCCATGAACACCAGTGATATAAATAGCGCCATAATATTGGGAAAATAATCGTACTTTAATTACTTTTCCACTTTCTGTTCAATAATTTGGGGATAAAATCCTAACTTTTGGCAGATTTTCCCTCAAAGGCTGATGTTCATTGAACCCATTGCTGTGCACATTTGTAGGCAACACAGCTCGATGGAGATTTAGATCGAGATCTGTGTGTGGCTTTCAATATTAATACCAAGCTTAACCAAAAAAGAAATTTACAAAAGGACAACATTAAGTGCTTCATTAAATTTTATTTTCATACTTACGGCAAGAAAAACGTGTCTAGATAATTCCCAATTATTAAAGGGTAAACTTTTCAACCCCCCTTAAAAAAATTCAAATTCAAGGAATCGGTTGACTATATCTACAATGTTATTCCTCCATCTACAAATACATCCTTTTCCTTCTCCATTCATTGATATGTGAAAGATTTTAAAGTGGCAGAATTTCGATTCGAACCCACGCCACAGAAATGAATGTACCGAAAATAAAATGTCAATAAAATGAATCAATGTCTCTACCCGTAATGGTACACATAGGATCATTTGCTTTTAGTGCATTTTGTTTTCTTCGTTTGAAGAAATGAAATTGCTCAAAATCCTAAGAAGGGCGCACAACAAATAACTTGTTGAAGTTTCTGCTCAGTGGAAACTATACATATTAAAAAAGCCCCTTTAAAACCTCTTGTGACTGGATTCCGTTGCTAATGCACGTAAAAAAAATATGCCTGGGAGCATGTTTTCTTAAACCGCCTTTAAAGGTTGTTTTCTTCCGAATTATACAGGGTGAGTCAAAAAAAGCGGAACCCAAACCCCAAAAATTATATTTCATATTAAAAAAAATATGTAGCACCAAAAATAATAATGACTGGAAAGCCAATTTCATAAGCTACTTTTGGATGAAAAAATTGCTGAAATAGGTCAATCCGTTCAAAAACTATCACCATTTAAACACAATGACCCTAAAACCTGTCTCGTCCAAAAATGCGATTTCAGCAAAGTCCTTTTGAAGGCCCGTCTTTTAAAAAAGTACATTTTATAAATCATATTGTTTGCCTAACCAGGGTTGTTAATCAAAATATTGTGTGCTACAGTTGGTGACAGTTGTTGAAACAAGTATTCTGTGTCATTTTCTTTGTTGTTCCAAACAGTCAAAAACACACAATAAATTGATATTTTGGACGAGACAGGTTTTGGGGTCATTGCGTTTAAATGGTGGTATTCTTTGAACGGATTGAGCAATTTCAGTAATTTTTTCATCTAAAAGTAGCTTTTGAAATTGGCTTTTCAGTCATTATTAGTTTTGGTGCTACTTATTTTTTTAAATATGAAATCCATTTTTGAGGGTTTGGGTTCCGCTTTTTTTGACAATAATTTCCCAGGGTAGTTGGTATCAGACCTAACTTCACTTTGAGCAAGGAATTTCATATTAAATTTGGAACCTTTCCGGTTAATTGCAAATGTTCCCACGCGCCTTTAACAAATATAAAAAGTTATTTTACAAAGCATGATATAAACTTTTTTTGGTATATACACACAATATACACAGATGTACATTTAATAATGACAAAAATGAGTTTCGCTTTCTGGAAATATACACACAATATATGTACATTTAATAATAAACAAAAATGAGTTTCATATTCTCGAAAAAGAGATGTTTAAAAATGAGTTTCGCTTTCTGGAAATAAAGCCTGTCTAAAAAAAAATGGTACAATCAGAAAAAAAATTGGTTAAATATGAAATTTCAAAATAAGTCATTCTTACTTGGCATAATATTAAAGAACAAAGACTGGGCTTTCCAATAGTGTTTGTTTGATCTTATTTGTTTTTGTCAAATTCAGAGATATAATCAATTTAGTGCGATACACCAAAATCGATTTTGTGCCACTTTTGTGCATGGGCAGAGTTGTTTCGAGTACTGTGCCATGCTGTCTTGAAGCTCACAAAAGATTGCAACTTGGCAAAAGAAACAAACTCGATTTTTGTGTTACGCAGTAAACTGGAGTTATCTCTGGATTAACAAAAGCAAATGAGATGAAACAAAAAGTATTGGAAAGCCTGGTCTTTTTTCTTTAATGTGATGCTCAAAACAAATCGTTTCCAATGTACCATTTTTTTTAGACAGGCTGCATACACACAATATACGTACATTTAATAACAAACAAAAATGAGTTTCATATTCGAATGTATAAAAATCAAATAAACGGATGTCAAATCCTTGCTGACACTGAAAGTGAATTTCAGAACAATGAAAATTGTTTAAAAATGAAAGCAAGAACACTGAAACTTGTTGCGTTTGTTGGTTTGTAAACCTGGTCTTTCATCTTCAACAGCATCATTCAGTTTGCAGGTTAGGCCGTATCTTCTTAAAAATCACAGTAGTTAATGCCAGGCCCCCCTGACGAGCAACTAGCTGCCCCCCCCCCCCCCCCCAATCAGCAAAAACCACAAGCGCAAATATTATACAGGGTGGAGAAAAAAAAACCGAAACCGAGATATTATTGCTAATTGGAACAGAAGTAGGGAACATGTGAATCAAAGGGAGATTTCTTCTGTTAGGGTTGAATCTTCTCTTTAAAATGACACCCTGATCATGTCCTTACATTCATGGTTTACTGAGCAGTGACCAATTTTATGAAAGGGTCTATTTAGAGAATTGCGCCACTTTTCAATTGTGGTTTTTGTTGTGCTATTTTCACAGAGTAAAAGGCTATGGTTGCCAATCAAGGCAGGTGGGGGAAAAAGAGATTTCACCATGAAAAGTGGCGCAAACCTCTAAATAGACCCTTTCATAAAATTGGTCACTGCTCAGTCAACCGTGAATGTAAGGACATGATCAGGGTGTCATTTTAAAGAGGAGATCCACATGTGCCCTTCTTCTGTTACAATTAGCAATAATATCTCGGTTTCATTTTTTTTTAATCCACCCTGTATATAAGTGTTTTTTTTTTTCTGGTGGCGTGTCCCCCTAATATGTACTCCCCCCCCCCCAATGCCTAGAGCTGACGACAGGCCTGTTCAGGCCTCCCAGCCCAACTCCATCAAATTTTAGTCAAACTAGGCCAGCAGGACCACATCCCCAAAATCCACCAAATATGGGGGGATGGATTTTGATGGAGTTGGCAAGGCTAGGGTTAAGGCCTGTTATAATACTCGGTGTGAAAGCGAATATTTGTGACGTTATGGCAAGTGTATGCATGCTGAGAATTCGCAAAAGTGGAACACATTTCAATTTTGAGGAATTTTGCAGCCAATGTTTTGATCCTGACGTCATTCGCTTTGCGTTCATGTCAAGTACGAATTGGCTTTAAGGGTGCTGGTATGAGCAAAACGCAACGGCAAATTTGTGACACAACTGTGATCAGCAAGTTATACCCAGCAATTGAGATGAACAAAACTAACACTGGAAGCACATCAGTCAGGTTGACGTAGCGGTACTTTCCTCGCCTTCCACCGTTGTGACCCGGGTTCGAATCCCGCCTGGGCCAATATGTGGATTGGGTTTTCAGTCCCTGCCTGATTCTGTGGGTTTTCCCCAGAATATTCTTCTGGGCTTTTCCTCCCACCTCTAAAACTGTAATTTCTTCTCATTGTCTTCTCTCCACAGGTTTCTTCTGGCTTGCGAGCTACAGTGCCTAGGGCGCTTTTGAGGAATCCTTAGTTTCATTACCAGAAATAATTAATAATAATAATAATAACTAGTGCTTCGGGGTCACATTTCTAGATTAATTATATATCTTGATTATTAACATATGTAATAAAAAGTAAGAACCATTAGATGGTCATACTCAGGCAAAACGATTATTTAAGTTTTATTCCAAAACTTCTGTCACGTTGCTCTTATCACTTGGTGAACTGCATGTGAAGAATCAAACATTCATAAATACCTCAAACAGTTTATCTATTCCTATTGGTCGAGAGCCCGTCACATGGCCGGTTTTAAACGGTTGATAAAGACGTGGTTCGCTGGTCTTTAACACTTTTTCAGTGTCACATGAAATTTGGACTCCTGTGAAATCCAGTGGCAGCACCGTTATATTGGTTGAACCTTCACAATTCTCACGTAGGCATGCGCAAAACTACCAGTGAGTCAGTAATTCATAGTCCTAAAATTCACACTACACCGGTACATCTGCGTTCTGTGCGACATCATGCAGTACACACGACGCGCACGCCAATCACCATATAAGGAGTTGTTTACCAGAGGGCCTTACCATTGTATAGCCAGAGGGGTATTTTGTTGAACGCAATCGTTGGAAATATGTAATTTTCAACTTTTTTAACTCTTGTGGACCGAAACATTTTGATTTTTTTTTTGGCCAAAAAGGTATTTAAGGAATGGGAATAACTATGTGCTTGGTTGGTATTCTCGATGCGGGTAATTTTCAGCGGCCAGACTCCAACCGGTCTTAAACAGAGTGTTTAATACCTCCCAATCACACATTTATTCCCTTAATAAAATGTTTCTTGTTCACTACAATCTATTCTTGGACAATCTATATTCT